CTTACTAGAATATCTTTATTAGGAAATTTTAGTTGTACCTGTCGGATGAAACTGCACAAATTCCATATCTTCATTTGGCAACCCAGCTCTTGCAACCATGGCCGTTCCATCCCCAGTGCAGGTATGTGCGGATGTACAGGAGAAATAGGCACGGCCATAACCACTGAAAAGACAACAAAAGAATTGATGCATTTGAGAGGATAGAAAAAGGTACAGGAACTAAGAATTTAATGTGGCTAAATGTAATTTTGGCAAAGTTAACCTCAAACCAATGCTAGCCAATTTCCCTTCTTCCCTTACAGAGAGTGGCCTTTTGCCCTTACTGGGGACATCTCGTGACTCTAATCACAGTCACTTGCTTGCAGTTCTTCTTAAAATGCCTTTTACTTTTGCAGTGTTTTTTGCTTGCCACTTTAAAGCTATTTTTCTCCCTCCACTCCCCTCTTCTTTAGGTGAGGGACTGATATGTATTAGTCTATGCAGTTCCACTGATCAGTTCAGTGTGAAGGTTCCTGGTGAGGGGCCACCTGAAGGGTTGCCATGGAAACCTCCTTCCTTATGCTAGAGCACAGCCTGGCTCCACCAACCTTGTAGGCAACAACGCCCAAGCTCATCTATTGGTGACGGGTTCAATGAACCTTCACCTACACTTAAATCACAAAGTCTGTCTTTTCTTACCCTGTTGCTATGACAGTGTTCTTAGCCTTGAATCGGTGAAGTGATCCATCTTCAAGACACAAGGCAATCACACCAACACAAGTTCCTTTGTCCATCAGCAGGTCCAGTGCAAAATATTCCACAAAGTATTCTGTGTTGTAACTTAAAGACTAAGACAAGGAAAAGAGAACTTTAATTTGAAGTATAGGAAGTTTCTGCTTCAACAACTCCTAAGAAGGTGGAAATGGCCCAAACAAACATTGTGTGCAATTTTTGCTAGGAACTTCAAGAAATGAGAGCTTTTAAGCCTTGAAGAAACAAGAAAACAGAGAGCCTGTTTGTAGTCTAAATATGCCTTATGCTTGCACTTTAACTTTTAACATGCCGAAGTACAGAAAATAACTAACCTGTCCATACAGAGTATGAAGAAGAGAGTGACCCGTTCTGTCGGCAACAGCACAGCACCTGTGAGCCTGGCCTCCTTTACCATAATCATAACTCTGTCCACCAAATGCTCGCTGATATATTTGGCCCTTTTCTGTGCGACTAAATGGCATTCCATAATTTTCAAGCTGTATAAAATCAACATGAAAAGGCTGAGTTTCAGTTACAGTATAAGGTGCAATCAATTTCTTCAGACAATGCTCTTACTTAGAAACTTAATCTTGAAGTTCAAATAGAAATTGCTACACATTGATCACCAAAAGTATTTCTTGACCTATAAAACAGCCGCAATAACAACTGGGCTAAGTTTGTTTAGTAGCGGATTTGTTGCTAGCCAAACTGTTAGAAATAAAAGAAAATGGTGTTCACTTCACCCTCAGTGATCCATGCATGATCCACACACAAGGTAATTTTTGGACAAATTTATAAACCTCTATCTGCAAGGCCTTCGACCTTGCTTCACAAGGAAATGAAGACATGGCAAGTCTTCCCACTGAATGTCTTTTGAGTGTGACAGTGCATAAGCAAATGCCACTCAACTGATTGCCACTGCTACCTTATGCAGCAATGCAGCAGGTTCAATGTTACCTGGCTATACAATTTGGCCATACAACCAGAGTAAAAATAATTACATTGTAATTGCCTTAGATCTAGAAATAAACAAGCTGAAGTGATGATTTCAAACCTCAATAACTGCCTTGGGAGCTTCCTCTGTCATATAATGAATGGCATCTTGATCTCCAAGCCAATCACTGCCCTTCACAGTGTCATACCTTTAACAATCAGCCAGTAAAGACAAACGTTTTCAGGTGGAAAGTATAAAGAGCAAAATCAAAACAGTCACCTACATGCAGTTACATGTAAGACCACTCCACCAAACCAATTCTGACAAAATAATAATTGTAATAATTATGGTTGCTTTATATTCCAAGAAAACCTATCAGTTAGCATCAAGTTGGCCAAGGAAATGGATGTCTATTATTCAGCTGATATGTTCAGTCTTTGGTTAACACTTTTTATTCAAATTGTAATAATTATGGTTGCTTTATATTCCAAGAAAACCTATCAGTTAGCATCAAGTTGGCCAAGGAAATGGATGTCTATTATTCAGCTGATATGTTCAGTCCTTGGTTAACACTTTTTATTCAAATTTTTCTTACATTATCCCTAGAGTGGTTTACTGAAGCCTTGAATAATCAAGAACCTGGAACTTACTTCCTGTACAGCACAGTAACAGCTACTTACATGTGCCAACGCCAGTTATCTGGTTCCATGTTTCCAAGTGCTGCATTAATTCCTCCCTGTGGAGCAAAACAAAAACAATAATGTTAGAATATAATGTATTAAGGAATGAAAGCATTTCAGTCCTAAGTCTGTAAATTAAATTTACGCTTTCAGCAACCCTCTAAGTCCCAAAAGCAGGGTTTGCGCTAAGAAAATAGAAGCAGGAGAAAGGTGTAACGTTACAGATGAATAGTTTGAAAGAGGCTCCATGTCTGAATAAAAAATAGTCAGAACACTTGCCGGAAAATTTTATGCAGTTAACGGGAATTCTCTGATCTTCGATGCCTAATGAACACCTTGCAAGAGTGATCAACGTCAATTTTTCTAATAATAATATTGAAATACAAAAAAGAGAAAAGGTTACGAGAAATAAACAAATGAACAACAAAGGTAAATGCTTTGGTCTTTTGTCAAATTCTCTCAATTTATTATTTAAGGAGATTTATAGAGATCAGTCTGGAGAATTTGTACGTGGATATTGAGACTTAAAGGGTTAATCAGCTAAAAAAAATAAATGTCTTACACATTAATTTTACATACCTGTGCTGCGACAGTATGGGACCTTGTAGGAAACAGTTTAGTGATACAAGCTGTCTTGAAACCTTCATGAGCAAGACCAAATGCTGCACGCAATCCAGCGCCACCTGCTCCAACAACCACGGCATCATAGCTGTGATCAATCACGGGGTATTCTCTTGACAACTAGAGACAAAGAAAACATAAAGTGTAATGGTCCAGTATTCTTGCATGTCATAACCAAACAACTACTGAAATAAACTACATAAAAAAAATCAATCAATTTTTCAAGCCTTCAACATTTATTTGCAGTGAAACTGTGTTCCTTGGACTTTCAATTTTGAGTCTTCACAACCTATTACAAGAAGAGCTTCAGAGATAGCCCTGAGTCAACTCAGACACACATTAAATTTTGAAGTGAAACAAAAATTGGCTTACAAAATGTAGCTTTGAGAGTATTCAGGCCCTCAGTCACGCAATTCCCACAAATTTCACACCGGAAAAAGTCATTTTGTTTAAAATCTATAACACCAAGAACAATCGTATGAAATGACAAAGTTTTAATAAGAAGGTTTTTTTGAGTCATCAAGTTGCAAAAAACAGCTTCCGAGTAGTCCATGCTAGACTGCACGTCCAATAATACACCCAACGTATTGCATAACAACAATGTCATGTAACGCATTTTTCGGACATAGTTTGCCATGTATTTAGAATGGGGTGAGAAAAAAGAAAAAAGTAAAAAGCAACATCTAACCTGACTCTTCGATGTTCCATCTTGAGATCGTCTTCCCTCGACTTTAAAGTGGAAAGCCCGACTCCCAGTAGTTCTCAAGGCGCTCCTCGCTAACCCAGACAACTACAATCACAAAGATGTTTACGTAATTATTACGGGCAAAAGTAAACTAAGATCAAATAACTTCAGAAATTTAGCTTACTCTTAAAGAAGTCAGTAAATTTTTGCTCTTTAGTCCTGATAGCATGGTTTTTTTGCCAGTATTTTAGACGCAACAACGGCTACAGTGTACGTCTAAAAAAATCGACCCTAACCAAGCTTACATGAAGACCCCCGAAGAATTTCAGCATACTATGATGACAATGCCCGCTGACCAATTCTCGGACGTATGATGACAATCCCGCTGACCAATTCTCGGACGGAGCCTGCTGAACCATGCAAAGCTCAGGCTACGTTTGAAAATGTAGAAATAACCGTAACGTGCATGCCCCAAAAAAGAAAAAAATGACAACTTCTTTATCAGAAGCCAGTGCTTCTGCCACGTAATGAATTAGCCTTCATATTATACTTGACACATTTCGATACCTATTTATCTACGGTTTGTGTTCCTCTTAAATACATTGATAAGACTTTTTCGGCTATCCACAGTAATTTTAGATGTCTAGAAATGTATTCTAAGCGGTGCTGTAAAATTTGCATCTGTTAGGTCATCCTAGGGGTACTTGAGACAAATTACAAGGGCTTATTAATAAGTATTATTTTTCCGAAAATCAAGTTAGATGCAATTTGACCAATTACGAAAGTGAGAAATTTTCTGATTTCTCTCTCCATTGGATTTTTGAGTCCCAAAATTCTAGGTTTCCTTTTCTCTACGAAACACGGCCTATTTTGGGAAGTAAAAAGGGAAAAACAAACTTCAGAAAATCGTAGGGAATTTCAAAAGTAGGTTGAGTTTGATCGTCCTCGGGGTGAACGTAGTCCTGAACAGGACTGTTGTTGTTGACAGTGACTGACGTTTCGAGGACAAAGAGAAACCGGAGGACAGACAGGGAGCAGTATACAAGATCAAATGCTGCGACTGCCAGGCTTCTTACATTGGTGAAACCGGCAGAAACCTAAGCACATGACTGGCTGAACACAAACGAGCGACGAGGAATGGTGACGTCAACAATCACATTGCTGATCACCATTTAAAGACGAAATATCAAATTGACTGGGACTCTGCGACATGTATAACGTATTCTACAGACTACTATCAACGTCTTACTTTAGAAAGCTGGTTTACTAACTTAGAACAAACGCCACTGAATCGTGGCCAACAGTTACCAGCGCCGTACAAACGACTTATTGACGAGATCAAGCAAAACTTACTACGAGAGAACGACTGGAGAACTGACAATTTGACTAACAATATACGGCTGTTTAACTGTGACAATAGACGGATCGAAACGCACCAATTACTGATTACGAGTCATCATAGCCAATAACATCACGGCTTAACTGACAGACGACCAATAACATCGCGACGTAATTGACCAATCAGATCAATAACCGGAGTATAATACCATCAACTGACGTGATACAACTCACTTTGACTCTGAAGATGACTACCGCACAGGTTGTCGAAACGTCAGTCACTGTCAACAACAACAGTCCTATTCAGGACTATGTTCACCCGGACGATCAAACTTGGTCTTACTTTTGAAATGACTCACGGCCGGGTTCAAACCTTTCACCGTAGGGAATTTATTAGACAAGCTTCGAAAATTGTGCATGAGTGGCACCGATAGAAATTTTTAGCCGTCCTCAAGAAACAGAAATTTCTAGGCAATATTTGCTTCTTCGAACATATATTTCACAGAAAACAGTCGTTGGGTGCCCCTTTCGCATCTCAGTTTGGCGTGCTGCTCTCGCGACTCCCCCAAACTGAGAGTTTACTCGAGGGCTACCCTGAACTGCGCATGGTTGGCCTTCGTTGAAATTCCAATGTTTGTAGCTTATAAATCCTTGGGCTGGCTAGCCAGTGGCATTGTGGCTGAGAAAGGCTAGAAGGAAAGAGAATGGAGGGAGGGTTTAGGTAATTAAATCGGCTTCGTACAGCAGCCGATCAAGTATTCGGCTCCTGCTTCGTATTATTAAAATTTATGAAGCCGTCCTCTGCCTCCGGATTGGACATTCAATGATTAGCTCAGACATTTCCCGGAAATAGTGTTTAATTCGAAGAATTGAGACGCGATTCAATATTGATTCATTCGTATGATAAGATAAGCCCGGACCAAAATATATCACTGGCTGATCGTTCACTGGATTATCGTTTAAAATATGACCGTGCTTAGAACGTTTCGCCTGTTCGTTTCTGCAACATCTGTATGTTAAGAATTTCTGCATAAATTAAGGGCTTTAAATTTTAATTCGAAGTCACGCCATTGTCTAAAGCTTCATTTCCGATAGAGCGAAACGAGGACAGCCAAGATGGCGTCCGCTCATAGAAAATTTACGATGTATGTTCAAGACATACCTCCTGATTTAGATCAGTTATTGAAATATGTGGCCAGTGAATTGGAAAAGGAAGAACTAGAGTCAGTGGTAAAGTCAATCAAGAACACTTTCAAGGGAAAGTTCGAAGAGCAGCAAGATGAGGATTTGTATTCATGTTTTCTTCTATTTGCCAGCCAAGGGCTTTTGTCTGGCAAAAATTTGACGCTGTTAAAGAGGTTTGTAGCTCCTAAGACATCGAAAAGTAAGGAGATCAAGCAAAGGATCGAGCATTTTAAAGCAAACCGCCAAGAGGTAAGCTTTAATAAGTACGTCAGAATACTAGGACAAAATCACGAGGAAGCTGAACTGTAAAAACTTTTCGATCAATCGAGAGTAGTAGTTAGCAGTCCAAAGGGCGCGCTATATGCAGGCTTTGAATGGCCGGACATAGCCTGTTCGAGGCGTTCGATCAGATAATAGAGTGCGGCGTTCAGAAGGTGGGCCAGCGAGTAAAATCATACGCGGGGAAAACGAGGGGAAAAAAAACTACAAGAGACTTTGTACTCGCAAATATTTCGCGCTCATTACTATCATAACGCCTGGAACAGGCTAAATAACCCGGCACTTTTGGCAGGATCTTTAATTTGGCGTAGGATAGCAATTTCTTTCGGAGCTCTATTGCTGTCAGCTAGGCTGAAGCTGATCACTAGTCAGTGCTTGAAGAATGATTGCCGACGTCAGTCCAGACCTTTTTTGCACATACAGATTTTGGTAACCTTCAACTCGTACAATGTCTGTATAATGAATTAATTAATTAAAAGTTGTCGGAAAGTCTATTAGGCGACGAGACTGAATAGCAATATGACTAATTTCACTACAAAATTTTACCAAACTTAGCCAAGAGGAAAGTTGAACATAAAATGACAAAAGTAACTGTTTGTTATATTTTATGCCATTCTTTGGCCGATTTGCATTGATTTTACTTGATTTAGGTCATTGACACAGTCACACTTCATTTTCGGGCATTGTGGGGGACAGACTGTTGTCGATAACGTTTAGTCATGGACAAAGGTACTCGAAATAAATGAAAGGCATCGAACTAACCGTTACTCTCCAGTTACTCTCCTCATTCTCGTTTAGTATATACAGTAAGATCGCAGCATAGGTTAACTCAATCAAGCATTACCTGCTCTCCTTAATAAATATCGGTTGTCAGCCTTGCATATGAAGATTGCTAGGCAATTGAGGCGTTGCCAAGGCTTGTTATTCTTCGATAGAAGCCGAGCGTTATTATATCTACGAAATATTAAAAGTCCACTAAACAAAACCTGTGGATGAGTTTCTAGTTGAGACATTCTTAGGGCAAAAGTTGAAGAAAAACACTTTTATAGATAGGCAAACTTAGTTGAAACGTCGCCATTTAGTCAGTGTTACAGCAGGACGTGAGTGGTGAGCGTCTTCAGCATCTTGGCCGAATTTAGATCATTTTTTGGCACTGTGCAAATAGCTGTAGTCACTCAGAAAAGTCTTTCAATTTTTATCTCAGTATTGTAAAACAATTGCGGTATTATTAAGATATCGAGCTTATCGTTGTGTCAATCCTTGTCACCAGGAGGTACTCCTAACCAAAGAGGAACTCATAGGAAGACAAAAAGACTTGGAAGACGTTATGGCAAGGCTAATGGGGAGCAAGCCGGCTATCGTTAATTTGTTCGGATCAAGTGGAGAAGGAAAAACAACTCTGGGTAAAGAAATCTGCCAAAAGTGGCCGGGAAAACATCACATTTGGGTCGATTTAAGGGAGGTAACGGAAATGAAAGACGTCTACTTTCATATCCTGCTCGCATTGGACACCAATAAAACAATAATCGCATATGATGAAAATCCAGTCATTGAACAACTGCGAACGTTAAGGGAGGAAGAGCGGGGCGATGTGCTCTTGGTCCTTGACAACGTAGACAACTTTTCTGGAGGAGATGAAGAAGCTGAGGAGTTGAGAACTGACTTCATGGCTTTCCTAAAAAGGCTTTTTTCTAAGAAGGACAGCAAGGAGAAGGCACAGATAAAGGTCCTGCTGATATCTAGAAGAAGTTTCCGAAGTGATGGAGAAAGGCAGGAATGGAAAAAGAAAGAGCAGAGTCTCGATGAAATCACGGAATACAAGGAACTTAAAATTTTGGAGAAAAACATTTCCATGGAGATTTTTCAAAAGGCCAGTGGAATTACCCCAACAGCAGACACTGAAATGGAGCAACTTGTTGAGATGTGTAAGAGAAAACCTCTCCTTCTGAATGGTATGGCCGCCATTCTCAGGCAGAAGATAGCCGATGGTGAACAGCTTCTTAAAGCTATCGAACAGGGCTTAAGCGATGCGGAAAGTGAAGAGAAAGCAGCCTCAACGACAGAGGAGAGCGTAGATGACAGAAAAGTTTGGGACTTTCGTACTGAAGGCATTGACGAAAGGCAGCTGTCATGCATAAGGAAGATGTTTTTTCTACTTCCAAGTGACACCCTCAGATACGCTGCAGTGGCCGTTTCCTTATTTTGTCGACCATTTTCAATAGAAGCAGCTGCTTTTGTTCTTGATAAAGACACTGCAGAGACAGTCATCCTTCTGGAGGGATTGAGGAACAGCGAGCTTCTGTCTGCTGATCCCGAAGCGAAAGAAGTTGTCTATGATATACATCCCTTGATACGAAGCTTTATCAGAAGTGTTGGCAGCGGCCCTGTTTTCAAGCATATCTATTTGAAAGCCAGACGCAGATTTTG